CTTGACAAGGCATCAGCAACACAGTTCACTGACCCTCTGACCACCTTCACTTCAAAGTCATAGTCCTGTAGGTTTAAAGCCCACCTCATAAGTTTGCTATTGTGGGTTTTCATTGTCTTTAACCATTGCAATGGTGAATGGTCAGTACACAGAATAAAATGTCTTCCCCAGATGTAAGGCTTGGCCTTCTGGATCGCGTAGACTATGGCCAAACACTCCTTCTCCACGGTTGCCAAATGTCTCTCACCTTTTTGAAGTTTCCTACTCAGGTAGGACACTGGATGCTGGTCACCATTCTCATCCTCCTGGCACAGAACTGCTCCTACCCCGCTGTTAGACGCATCGGTGTAGATGATGAACTCCCGGTCGAAGTCTGGAGCACGCAGCACTGGATAGTTGATGAGCGCCTGCTTCAACCTCTGGAACGCCTCCTCACAGTCGCTGGTCCACGGGATGCGGTCATCAGCCTTCTTCCTCGTCAGATCGGTCAGCGGAGCCGCAATCTCGCTAAACTAAAGATTTTTAAACGAAACCTTTCAAGCTACTGTTAAATGGAATGGTCACCAACATTTGGCTACAGGGGAATCCCATCTCAGTTACTTCTAGGAAAACACGCATTTGTTTCCCACTACAGATGTTTCCCAGGTAGGGGGAGAGGCATGTGTTGCTTCCTCGTTTCCTAGCACCACCAGTTTCAGAAGGTTAACAGGACTGTATTGAGTGTAGTACAGTTTCCAGCTGTTTTAATCCTTGTTTCAAAGTTCATTGCAAATTGATTTTCATAAGACAAGTATGTTTTTCATTTACTGGGTGAGACACCTCTAGAAACCAAACTGACAGAAGAAATGTTTCCTCTTATAACCAAGCAAACAGCAAGAGCTTAGGAGGGATACATCACGGCGTGTCATAAACTTGACATGTCTTGTCATTTCTTCAGTGCTTCCTGGAAATGATTGCTCTCTCACTTTTCACATATGTTTTTGATTTTTGCCCCCCCCATAGTTGCTATATAGATCATTTGTTGCATTTATCTGCTTCCTAATATTTTCGTGAAGTATTCCAAAAAACATATATTTTATTCCAATGCCCAAGGAAGCAATAGTACTTCACATGGTGATATTATTCGATTTTTCTTGTAGCTT